TACCTGCATCAGCCTCAATGCTAATGTATGTTATCAAGCAGGAAACGTCAAGACAAGTGCATCCTCAACAAGAGTAAAGTAGATGATGAAGCAGGGTATGCTTGTGTTTTTAAATCAGGAAGCTTTATTTTGACATTTGGTCGACATTTTTTGTTTCCTTTTCGGTTGTTCTAAGCTAAGATAACATAAGATAGGACTTTATTTATCCCGAAGGAAATTGTTGTGCCAGAGTTACAAAGACACAACAAACACAGCAGCATAATAAAAAAAGTAAAAATTATAATAATAAAACTGTACACTAACAGTGCAGTAGAAAGAGAAAATTAAACAACTACAAGCTTTAACCTTTAGTCACCTCTGGCCCAAAAAATAATGTCCTGTGTGCGGTCATATGTCCATTTCTAATTCTCTATTTTACATATGTTAGCAGACCAAACTTAGATAGTGAACATGGGAAACATAGTTTGTGCTAAACATGAGCATGGTAGTGGGGACATTGTGAGAATGTTATCATGCTGATGTTAGCTGAGGTTTTAGCTCAAATCACCAATAAGGGTGTATGTGCAGCCGAACTGTAGACTCCTTTTATTAAACCAGGACACATACACGCATAAATCATCGTTTATTTTCTACACCCTTATTTCCGTTTATCCCACCCTGACTAGTGCACTACAGCCACAGGCTAAGCAAACCCCTTAAAGTGCTTCATCTCGATTCAGATACAGTTATGGACGCAACATAACTCTTTTTTACGAGTATGAAGCTGATTTCATATGAAAACAAAAGCCGGCTTAAAAGTTGATGGCTGACCCTAATCACCAAGGGCAACCAACCTAATGTAAAACGAATGGTCCACTAAGGGCACGACAGCGGTTGTATGCACGCTTCTTTCCAAGGACGACTGCTTGTGTCATTATCATGCTCCTCTTGGAATGATTGCACATTCATTAAGAGGAACATTTTGTCCAAGGCAATTTATAATGAGGTGCTTTTAATCTCCATAGAAACAAGCTAAACATGACAATTATGAGTGTGTTCAATACAAGAGCTGAGTATTTATTTTTATTATCCATTAACCTCATACATTACAAGTTATTGACTTGTTGTTCTATTATTTCGTTTTTTAAATAACCTCATAAAATAACATTTTAAAAATAAATATTGTTCCCACACTTTTACATTTATTGCTTTTTTATTTGATATGCCATATTGATTATATTATGGGCTAAACAATGGTTAACTGGTATATAAAATAACAAACAGCTTTGTATTTCATAAATATTATGTTTAGGTGTGCTAAGGAAATTCTATTAGGATTTGGACTTCTTTTATCTTTACACTAAATGTGAAGCTACAGCCGGCAGCTAGTTAGCTTAGCATAAAGACTGGAAACTAGCTGGCCTATACAAACAAATTAAACGATGACATTCATTCAATTGATTTTCTCAACAGGTTCCATGTAACCTAACACACGTTATTATTGCTATATAAAGTCATATTTACAGGCATTTAGACTTTTAGTATGAATCTTTTGGCTGTAAAAGTAGTACAGTGAGCATATTTAATATTGATATTCAATGTCACCCACTTTCCTCTCGTTCTGATGTAACCTTTGAATACCTAACTGTCAAAAGACTTTAAATCAGTTGTATGCTTTATGCAATTTCTACAGAATTAAGGCAATACATCCCGTAAGTAGGGCTTGGGTTGTCCTTTTTTTAATTATTATTCGAGTTATCTTGAGTCCAAAGCCTCCCTCGGCAGATATCCATCTCCTCCCCCGACCCTGCTTGATGCACTGGGCAGACAGAGGATCACCGGAGAACAGGAGCTGGCTGCAGCAAGGCACTGACATTCAGCAAGGCACTGACATTCAGCAGCTAATTAAACAGGAACAAACACAGAAACGACCTGTGGCGTGTGACGGGGGGGGGAACTAATCAGAGATGGTTTGCAGATGCAGGTGGGTGTGTGTGCAGTAAAGATAAGCTTCAGCTCTCTGCAAAAACAAAAATGGCTTTCATTCCGAACCCCCCCATCCCCCAACACACACAAGCATGCAATCTGTGTACAAACTGTGAGAGGACGAGCACCTCATTAATGAACTAAGGAAACATGTGCTCAGATTCACCTGCTGAACAAACAACAGCGCTTGGGGGGAAAGGTGAGTCTGATAAAAATGTGCTAATGTATTGCGCTGGTCTCCAGGGTGACTCACGCTAGTTGTCATGGAGACTGATGAGAAAAAGCGAGAGGAGGGACATTGGATAACATTCAACGCCATGCATACTCTGAGTCAGGAGATTATCTAGACTGGAGGTTTTAGGATTTGTGTATACAGTACACAACAGGAAAGATGAACACTAATCTTTTTGCCTTCCAATAGGCTACTGATATTTTGTATTATTGAATCAGGGCGAAAGAGTGCCTGAACATAATTTTGGATAAATTAGACTTAAACTAGGAAAAATAAACCACATGTAGTCTCTTGACACTGTAAATATTACTTCACTTTCATCTAATACCATCTAAAAACGAATAATAATAATAATGATAATAACAACTGTTAAAGGTGTGTTAGCTGCTCTTATCATTATCAATTATTCTGAAATATTATATAAAAAAACATTCTAATTAGCACTTTTAGTTTTGTATTTTCTTTTGAATGCAACACTTTTACATGTGACAGAGCATGCTATGTCTTATAACATTATTATTTTTACATGAACAAAAAATGGATATGGACAAAAAAAGGCCCCGGTTCTCTCTCCTCCTCAGCGGGCTGCTAGCCATGGAGCATCTGTATGGTCAACATGAACCACATTTTAAGCCGATCGTTGGGTTGGGGGACCGTGTGGTCTCGCATAGCTCAAAAAACAATTGAGCCAATATATTAAGCTGACAAATGACTTGTTTTCCTTTTAATTGTTCATTATGAGAAGCCATAGTGTGGTTGTTTCTTTCTGCATGCATGGCCATTTTATTGACTGGATCATCCATTAAAATATATTTGCAATTTTCTAGACGAGAACACGAATTTAAAAAAGACTGAAGCTACTTTGGCTTGTTAGAAAGCTACACATTTGTGTTTAGAACAAGTAGCATTAAATGATATGGAGACAATAATAAAGGCACTCACCCTGTCGCACGGCCGCAGCTCGGCGGACGCAGATGAAGTGTGCGCGGTGATGATGAGCACCAGGCAGCGGGGGAGCCAGGAGGTCCACACCTGCTCCCGCATCCTCAGCTCGGGTCACAAACAGCCGGCTGTCCGCGGCCTGGAGCCTCAAACATGAAACAGGCCGAGCAGTGAGGGTCTGTGAGGCGGTGTGTCTCTCATTGATGCATGCCTGTCTATTACTCATCCCCCACCATCAAGACAGACAGTGAAAAAAGAATACCTCCATTTCCGGTTTTCAAATTAAAACTCCTGTAGGCCTATCCCTAGAATAAAGAAGGAACAAAAAAATGTAACTAAAAGATTGATACGCTTTATTTTTGTACACTTTAAATATCATAACTGTATTGTTTTTATGCAGGCTTTTGAAATTGTGTAAGAACTCACCTTGGGCCCTGATTATCAATAGTGGACAAATAAACCAGACAATAAACAATTCAGAATAATCGATAACCAATATAATCCATAATTGCAACTCTAATGCCTATAGTTTACTATTATAAAATTCTAATAAATCAAATCGTATTGATTATATAAAATAAACGGCTTGTTTATGAACTGAAGCTTTTGAGTAAAAAACAGAGGTAAAAACTCAAGCTCCATGCTTTTATTTTGAAGGCGTCTGAGCCGGTTGAATGACTTGGTGGTTCACGCCTCTCTGAGATAAACCTTCACACAGACACAGACGCCACAAGTGCGATAACGCTCACCTTATCTTGATTGACAGCTGGAGATGGACAACAGGCCTGCTGGCTGCTGAGTTTATTTTAGCTCTGCCTCAGTGCCCTGTCATAGTAGGAGATAGACAATATCTAACTTTATACAAAAAAAACACTAAATTGTGACAATAACAATGTAGTTTGGGTTAGAACGTGTAGGGTTCAAGGTTGAAGTATACATTTAACGTTCAGTTAAATAATATTTGTATTATCTTGAAAACCTATAAACTATCACCTATAACAAGCTTTTATTTTACACTCATTAACGTGCTTTGGATTTTTCAATCACTGGTCAATATTCAGTGATTAAGATGTTCAAATTAAATGTTTTAGGAAATATTTCCATGTTTCTGAGTCATGCCAAATTAACTCAACAACAGTTCTCAATCTGCAGGTTCACCAACCTCTCAAAAGTTCCTGTGTAGGAAAATTTGGAGTTTGAAATTAACATAATACCACATGAGGCAAGTTTATCTGCATAACACATTTCAAACACAAAAGGACAAGAAAATACCATTTAAAAGACAAGTGCCACTTACAGCAGATTTTCACATCAACTCTTTGAACAATAAATCAAGTTGAGCCACCATAAACTGACACACCTGAGAAACTGGTTACATCTAAAGGTTGTTCCTACAGCATTTGGAATATTTAATGTAAATCAGATCTTACTACATGTTTAATGAATTTAGTTTGTTGTAATAACTGTATTGTATAAACCTGGATGTCTAAAAGGCATTCCTGTCAACAAGATTTGGTACAAGTTTTAACATCTAGACAATTTTTAAACAAGTAATCCTAAAACAATTAATTGGATATTATAGAAATTCCTTCTGGGAAATGCATTTATTTTGACTAGATAATTGTTTTTAAATAATACTATTAACATTAATTTCCTTTGGAATTATATCACAGAAATACAGAACCTTTAGGTAATCCCAACATGTGTGTATGTTGTTTTATGATATGCATATTGACTGTAGGTTATCCATTAGGTTAAGCATGACGTCCAATCACCGGCAGGTGGCAGCAGCACACAAGAGCTCTGCCAAACATATCCCCACAAAGAAGAATTAAAGAAAAGGAAATGACGTAGAGTGCAGAATCAAAACAGTTATTGTTGACAGCTCGGCACTTGTCTCCCAAAAGGCTGATAAAATGCGATGGGAACTGTTACAGCCAATGTCAGAAATAAACTGCACTATTTAAACAACGTCTTTAGAAACAAAGGCAACTTTCTATGCGACTGTCAAGGAATGCTCATCCGAGGAAAAGGTACTTTTGGCTAGCTTTATCAGTGTACATGTATAGCTAGTTAGCTTCAACGGCCAACGAAAGTTGCTCCCTGGTTATCTATGGGCTGAACATTACCATATATAGCCCGGCCACAGAGCTCCCTCGCCGGTGAAATGTAAACAGTGGCTCCCCGAGGAGGCTGAAACAAGGGGCAAAAACTAAACTCAGCCTTGAAGATTACAAAAACTTCACCATGTCATCTGAGCAGATTATTGCCATCGTCATGGATGATAAAATCTACGAGGTGAATAAAAAGAAGCTGATTGAGAAAAGCGACTACTTCCGTGCGCTGTACAGCTCCGGGATGAGGGAGTCCACGGAGGACTCGGTGCAGCTGCAGGGGCTCAGTGTGCCCGGCCTGGAGCTCGTCCTGGAGTTCATCAACACCTCCAAGGTCCAGGTTGTCAACGAGACTCTGGAGGACCTGATTGAGACCGCCTCCTTCTTACAGGTCACCTCGATCCTCAAGCTCCTCACCTCGGAGATCCGCCAGGACAACTGCGTGGAGCTGTACAGCCTCTCTGAAGTCTACGGGACTCATGATCTGCGCAATGCTTGCCTCAAATACATGAGCTGCTACTATCATCCCATGCTGAGGCGACCAGAGTTCAGCAGCCTCCCCTCTGCTGTCAGAGAGCTGGTCAAAGAGATGCGCATGAGAGGCACTGCCACCCTGGTAGCCATAGGAGACTTCACCTGCCTCTCCTTGGACGTGCCGGATCAGGATGAGCCCTGGTCCATGCTGAGGTATGGAGAGATGGAGCAGCGCTGGAAACCCCTGGCAAACAACCTGCCTTCAGATATGATAAACGTCAGAGGATATGGCTCAGCTGTGCTCGATAACTACCTGTTCATAGTGGGTGGATACAGGGTGACGAGCCAGGAGATCTCTGCGGTGCACTGCTACAACCCCTGCAGGAACGAGTGGAACCAGGTGGCTCCGCTCAACCAGAAGAGGTAAACACAGAGGGACTCTAAGCATCATTGGGCAGGGTTCACACCGCCAGGGGCTCCACCTTAAAGGGTCCAAACTGCTATAGATTTCTTTTGATCTTAATACAGGAAAAAACATTGAAATGTTGCTACACTTAAAAAAATGGGAAATAAGATTTACTTAGGAAAATCTAGGTAAGATTTTGCTCTCAGAAAGTACATGGGACAACGTATATTTCAAGTACCATCTACTTACAGTGAAGAAGTGTTTGTTACTAAAGGCGCACAAGTAAACTTTACGGTCAAATTTCCGTTTTGTAAGTACATTTGACTTAAGACTACATGTGCACCTTATTACAAATCTTCACTAAAAGATGTTTGGCTTTTCAGGTTGTTTTTACTTGCTATTCTTACCTTTTATTTCATATATATGTTGGTAATATTTAAATATAATTTTACCTGTTACATCAAATGCAATTTTTACTCAATAAAACCGTTTTAAACCAAGGCTATACAAAGCATGAAACAGTAGAGTGGACGCTTTTAAACACGTTTATTTTTGTTCTGTTGTACATGCCATGATTAAGCTTACAATGATTTGAACAAATACTGCGCATACATCAGTTTAACTAAAATAAGCAGGCAAAGAAACACTCAGAGATCCAAAAATCCAATATTAACAAAAAAACAACTCAATAGCTACAAATTAATAAGATTTACTAAGGATATTTACAATTTTTTGAAAATAAAAAAACAGATTTTTGAAAAAGTACAGAAGCGTATTTCAACTTTGGTGTGCAAGCCTTCGCCAAACATTTGCACCTCAGATCCTTCGATGGAGATGGACACGTTGGTAGGTGTGGCGTCTTCTTTTGCTGCACTTCATGGAGGACATGGATCTGTGATGACACACTCGACACAGTCCTTTTCTGACGATTATAGCATACAATATACTGTAAACACTTCTTTGAAGGTACTGAGACTGACTGGGTTGAGATAGCTATTTCATTTAGTATCAAGCAGAACATGTACCTGATACTCTTTGATCAGCTCCATCAGGCGGGAGGACGGCGTATAACTTGAACTTGTTGCTGTGTAACAGACATGTCAATTATAGCAGCGAACACACATAACTGTAAGTACAGAAAGATACTGGAAACAAAGATTATGCCTTTTCGTCAATTCAACCCGCTACAAGAGAAGGCACCAACAGTTCAACTTAAGTGACACAGCCGGATGCACTGCGAGTGAATTGAGGCCACAGGCCACAGTAAAGAAAAACTCTGTTACTGTTACTTCAGTTAACATTTACTTGGTTCTAGGATTTAAATTGACTGATAAAATGAAGATACAAAATGACTTGCAAATTCAAGTAACATTTTGAGTAAAAGAAGAGTATTAGGAATTTCCATCGTTTTTTTCAGTGTATTCAAACTCATTATACTCCTTAATGTCTTACAAAAGTGTTTCAAAGCACTTCAATATGCCACCTAACTGTATACCATTTTTCTATTAATAGGTCATAGTTTCGATCCTACTTCTACTTCCACACTGCCAACATCAACATTCCCATCACTGTTTCCACCTTGAGATCTACACCTTTCCTCTCAAGTATCATTATCTGCTGTCGTGTTTCACTTCCTGCATCCTCTCCTCAGGTCCAACTTCAAGCTGCTGGCGGTCCAGGGGAAGATTTACGCGGTCGGAGGCCAGAGTCTGGGCACGGTGGAGTGTTACAGCCCGGAGCACGACTGGTGGATGTGTGTGTCCTCGATGCCCGACCCGCTGGCTGAGTTCTCAGCGTGTGAGTGCCAGGGGATGATCTACATCATGGGAGGATACACCGCAAGAGGTTGGTATGACCCTGTTGAGTATACAGTCACACTGAACATAATGATGGCCACTTGCTCTGGTTTCCTGTTGAAAAAGCCTAATGTCACAATTTACAAAAAATATAAAAAAGATAACCTGCACTTATTTATTAGATTATTTTACTTAGCTTAGTTTTAGATTAAGATTGCTATTACTTCTATTCCTTTGATTCAGTTTATCCTCCGTTTTCTCTCTGACAGACAGGAACACAAGCGTCCTGCGTTACTGCCCCACCTCTGACACCTGGACGGTGTTTCGCTCGTGTTCGGCGCACATCCGCAAGCAGCAGATGCTTTCGGTGGAGGACACCATCTTCCTGGTGGGCGGCTACACCCACGAGCTGGAGTTCGGCCAGCGGCGTCCCAGCCAGACGGAGGATGTGCTGACGGTGCAGTCCTACAACGTCACCACGGGGGAGTGGATCCAGCTGAAGGAGAACACGTCCAAGTCGGGCCTGAACCTGACGTGCACGCTGCACAACGACGGCGTCTACATCATGAGCCGCGACGTCAGCCTGCCCACCAGCCTGGAGCACCGCGTCTTCCTCAAGTACAACATCTTCTCGGACGCCTGGGAGGCCTTCAGGCGCTTCCCGGCGCTGGGTCAGAACATGCTGCTCTGTTCGCTCTACCTGCCCAACGTGCTGTGATCCAAAGGGCTGATGGGAAACGGAGAGGAGCCCATGAGGCGTTAATATAGGCTTGTTCTCGCACAGAATGGGGCTCTGCTGCATTGGTGGGAACAGTGACCTTTGTGCCTCCAAAAAAGAAACGCACGTCATACATACTGTTGCTGAAGCTACAATGATAAGTATGAACGTGATGAAGCCCCCGTAGGTCAACCACATCATAACAGCAAGCCCCAGTTCATTGCTCACATGTATTCAAATGAAAGTCACAGTGGAAATCCTCTGTTCTCTAAGGAATAACTACCTGGACAGTTTGAAAACTCACTTACCTCTGCTCATCAGGTTGTTGGCAAAGACTCTCTGAACCATCTGGATGGTTAATGATTCCCTCTGCTGCACAATTTAATATCTCTCGTTTCCTAACGCATCTTTATTTTGATTTGGAAACAGATTTGCAAACTTTAAAATGTTTTAATGTGCAGGAGGAATGTTACTGTCCAGATGGTTAGAAGAGTCTTTTATGGTCCTGAAAACAAAGTAAGGACAGCAGTAAGAGTGATTTAATGATGATTACTATTTTTGATTATCTGTAAATCCTTTAAGTTATATTCCTTACAAAAATGTCAGAAAATGCCGTTTTCATATAGAGATTTCCTGATCTCTATTTAATACGATATCAAACTGAATATATGTGTCTCTTGGTCTGACACAATATGGCAGTTTAGACATCTTCTTCGACCTTGAGAATCTGACTTTTTATAGACAGACAAATATTGACAATGCTAGTAATTGTTACTAGGAGCCCTAATAAGCGACCTTGGTTTTCTAACACTAAGGTCATTATTTATGTAACGGATGAATACCTCTGGAATCTAATGCTAATACATGACACACAAACAAACTTGGGTTTTATTGCTGCATGATTTTAAATCTATGGGACACAATATTCCTGATGTTTACACTCGCATACAGGTTTATCCATAATTCACTACAAACCTTAAAATATCTCGGAAACAAAACACATTTCTTGTCTCTATGAACTGTACATAGCAGGTAATCATGAAAAATGGCTTTGGTTTTACACTGCCAGGTTAATGAAAAGGTCCTTTGAAAGTTGTTGCCTGTGAGGAGAAGCGGCTTAGAGGGAGCTTAATGTGTGCACACTTGCACAGTATTCTTTTTTAGAGAAACACTACAGCAAAGCTTCAAGCGCAATTCCATGAAAGGAACGATGCACATGTGCCTTCTGCAACCTCAGATAATGGAACTCCATACAAAATGAGCACAAAATGCAAGACTTTGTTACATTGCCAGCAACTGACCAAACTGCTGTTTCATTTCTTTCTCTCTGCTAGCATGCAGCAGCTTTTTTCTTTTCATTAAGGTACTTTTCAGTTTCTTCATTAAATACTGGGTGTGCGGAAATGAGTAAAATAAAATGCATTTCAGAAACTTGAATTTGTGTGTTAATGCAGCACTTTAATCGTGGGATTTGGTGGATTTCTCTTTGCGTTATTGATCTGTTTGACAGTTTGGGGAATTTAGTTCATGATAATAAAGACAATGATCAGGGCTTTGCTTTGCTGTCCGTCCTTTAATTACTGTTTTCAACTTGGTCATTCCTCCATATTCTACTTGTGTGTAGTATATCAAACTAATAGAATTGTGAAGTTTTGCTTGGAAAAAAACAACAAAAACACATTTATAAATACGGTTAACCTCAAATTGTAAAAATGTAGATTACGTTGTTGATAAAAACCGGTAAAAAAAAAAAAATAATAACTGAAAAAAAAATACCAAAAGTTGACCAGCAGGGGGCGACACATGCTTTTAAACCAACATATATTCAGCATGCGAACATTATTTTCCACTTCACCTTCACAAGGACTCCCTCCTTCAATAAAATATCATATATTTTAACTCAAGTGAAATAATCCTTCATTTGAGCATTAACATGCCTTTTCTGAGCAAATTCTCTACTCGTACGTCATGAACGTCAGTGAAATAAGATGAGTTTGTTGAATCACATAAACCCAATCACACCTGTAGGCTGAATAATCAACATGTTCACAATGTGTCATCATGGAGGTCATCAACACTGATGGATGTGATATTTTCAGCGTTTGTTGGTGAGCCTGGATGGATAGATGGATGTATGTTGGAAATTGGGTTTCTCTAATTCACAGTGGCTGCAACGGGGGGAGGAGGAAATCAATTGTTATCATCAATCAGAGGAGATTGATCCTGTGGTCGGACCTCAGTGATCTCACACCTGCACAGCATCACTGCTCAGGGAGCAATACTTCAAACTGTGCTGGCTGTGAGACGAGATACAGAGTGACAGAGCATGGTGAAACATCTCTGTAAAGAATAAAAGACACAGAATCTTATTTACCTGAATGGATGACAGTATTTTCAGGGATATATACTGTGAATGAGTTGTGGTGTTCCATGCACATTTGGCTGAGCATGCAGTTTGCAGCCTCTCAGATATGGATATGTGAGGCTTATATATTTATGTCATAATAAACCGAAAATCTAACCTTGGACTTTTAAAAACTGGGATGGACCTTTTTAACTAATTCCTGATATTAAAGATCAAGCAATTCATCTAGAAAGTCAGTTACAGCCCACATTTTAAGTGCATTTATTAATGTATGTATTTGATGTACAGTATACAGTGTTTTTCCTTTGGGTTTTTTCAGTTGAGTCAAATGAGGAAATGTGCTCTGTATTTAGGAGGTGAGCGTCTGTTGAGTGTGTGACGGAAAGAGGTGGGATCAGAGGAGAGAGAGAGAGAGAGAGAGAGAGAGATCCAAGGACAGACGGCACTGAGGGGAGGGGGAATAACACACTCTCACTCACACAGCCGCTGCTACACTGAGGCAGATCTTGACAGTGTGAGGAGGAAGATGCATGTCTTCATCAGAGGACAGGACAATAGCTCCTAAAGCTGCAGAGACAAATACATGCCAGGACTACAAACACAGAGAAAGAAAGACAGAGCCCAGAGGGAAGGGCATTTCAGAAAGGGCAGAACAGGGCGGAAGGTTTATTCTGGTGCTTAAAAAGGACCGAAAGCAATCCTAAAAAAAGCTGCCTTCTGGGGATTCTCAGCCTCTCTGCATACGAACACTCTGTCTCTTTCTGTCTGCAGAAACCTCTCTCTGCTGCTGCTGCTGCTGCTGCTGAGGTTATAGTCTCCACAAAAGACTGCTTTACAGACCAAGAACATGAGTGAGGCAAAGAAAGGTGAGCTTGCCATCCGGGATAAAGCCATCCTGCACCAGCAGAGGCGTCTGAAGCAGGCCACCCAGTTCTCACACAAGGACTCGGCTGACCTGCTGCCCCTGGACGGGCTGAAGAGACTCGGCACAACCAAGGACTTGGTGAGTGGACAATCAGGTCATGATTTGATTGGAGAGGCTGTTGTTGCTTAGCAGATGTTAAGGGTTGAGTATCCAGCAGCATGTCATGTTTGAAAGAGAACTGCAGTGACACATGTTGGACTAATGATGGAAAGTTGGTTATAATGATGCAGCAGAATCAGATATATTCCCTTCTATATAGATTGGTGCAAGGATTTAGTTAGTATTTGAGCACTTCCTGTTCCCTTGTCTTGAATCAATGTTTTGGATAGTTTGTGGTTAGATGCCTGAAATAAGATATGTGGTTAATAAAAGCTGAAGGGATTTTCATGTGTTTTTCCACGGCATAAAATATGTCATAAAAACCTAGCTTTTAAATGTCTTAAAAAATGGGCGGTTGCTAACAAGTGGCTAAATGAGAATGCTAAACGTCATCACGCCAAACATCAGGCGCTTTAAGCTTACTATTGGAGATGTGAAGTCATGTGACCTGCTAATCGATACTAACTTGTAGGGGTCTGACTACAAGAACATGTCTTCACTTCACCACGCTATTTCACACATTATTTGACCTTGTTAAAACCTGACGCCTTCCTTACCCACAATGCAACCAGACACTGTGGTTTGGGTGTGCAGTGTTAATAATGGCTAATGTAGTCTTAAGCCTGGATATTGATGTTTGTTCAATGCACTTCTTTATAACATTTATTTTCAAACTTGTAGTCCTGAAACGACTCTGGCCAGAGATGAGGACTCGAGGAACATGACTTGGACTTGAGTGCGACTCAAGTCACATATGAACTTGCCATGATATCACCAGACCTTTTCATGAGAGATATTTCGTTTGCGTACAAAAACTACACAAAGGTCAACCAAAAGAAATTGCAGTTACAAAATATATGTGTTGAAAACAGCACTATATTTGGCAAAGAGCTCCAACAAAAGGATTATGATTAACTTTAAACTGTCAGAATAAAGAGTACAAGAGTACAACATGTGCAATGCTATAAGTCAGGGGTCCAAATGTCGTTTTTGGTCAGATGTAGAAAACCTTCACATTGAAGAAAATGCAACTGATTAGTATTGGTTTTGGTGTCCAATTGTTTCAGCACTACAGAGGAGAGGACAGCTGCTTATTGGCTGTTTACGTTGTTTAAACGTCGACTCCTTGTATAGATTAAGTATAACCACCATGTCCCAGACTAATACACTACTATATCTTCTGTATGTTGTTAAGTGTATCCTTGAAAAGGGACTACTCCAAGAAAAGCTCACGAAACCATGAAAGATTTAGAGTTTTGCAAAACGTCCATTTGAAGTAGAGTACAGAGGGAAAGGTCGTTATATATATCCAGGAACACACGCATATTTTAAAGGTCGACATATAGGACGAAAGACATCTTCCCCCTCTTCACTTCCTCTTCCTCCAGAAGCCTATACAGCAAGCTGTTCTATGCTCTGGAGAAACTCCCTGTAATAATCTTAACAATGTATTACCCACCTCCTCCTCCTGTGACACAGTTTTGGTTTGATGGCAGCTTCCCAGATTCCCAGAGCTCTCCAAGAAACTCAACACACAAATCCTTCTGATGCAGTGCTCTGATATAACACTAAGATACATCTATGTCTGCCAGCTTTTAATACCAACACGTACTGCTAGAGAAATCATTATAACCTCCTCCTCTTCTTTTTGTCATGCATTGATAGATACTGTATGTCTCCTCTATACCCTCTAGTGTTCCTGTGATAACATTATGTGAAAGTGGAATTAATAGATTGTGGAATTGTTCCAGACTGAACAAATGTTTCAGTTTAATCCTATTGCAATGGCATAAAAGGGTCTTGAGAATTGGAATCTTAGTGAATTTGTTGACTTTCAGTGGTTTTGAATGAAACATCTCTATAAATAATGTCTGGATTGGATTCATGCCCCACTAAGAATGACTTGTGATACCTATTGTGATCCCCTACTATTTTCAAATAACGCCATCATACGGTCAACATTTCAATGTATCCCATGGTTAACAACAATACTGCAAAATGAATGGCATTCCCAGCAGCCTATGGACTTTCTGTTTAGTGATTATAATAATGTGTTAGTATTCTTACAGCCTAAACTCAAATGGTTAGGATAGAAGATGAATCATGTCATTATCTTTTGGGACTTCGTACTTAACCCTCTGGAGTCTAAGGGTATTTTCTCGATTTTTAGATGTTTTCTTAAATCACCTTTTAAATGTATTTCTTCTAACATGGCACCCCATGTGTTAAATATCAAAATGTTCAGGACAATCTCTAGTATTGCTATATATGCAAATTACTCACCTTAGAGCACTGTTTGATGAGATAAGTAACTCAAAAGCTTAAAATTTGACATCCGATTTTCGGAAAATCTTCAAAACTTTTGTGAAAACACAAATTTACTCATGTGATCGAATTGTTTTGGTGTTTTAGATTTGGTTACCAAAGTCTTAGGATCACAAAAGCAGTGAAATATTTGAATTACACTGTATATAAATGTGTTATTCATGTCTAAAATGAAAAAAATTAAATTCAAATTTGGAGTAAAATAGGTGTTTATCACTCTACTTTCACCACAGCAGGGACTGAGATACATCAGGACTGAATAATGACTTCATATTACATACCAAGGTTCATGTGATGTGTACAAATACAAATTGTGCATTCAACCTTTTTTTTTTCAACCAACAATTTATTATAAATATGTTTTTTTCAACCAACTATTTATATAAATATAAGAAACTGGAAAATCTAACTATTTACAATATTGAACATCAGAACTTTCAACCAACTATTCATTATAAATGTCAAGACAGTGTCAAGGTCTTTGTCTGTCTTCCAAGACAGTGGGTCTGGCTGCTGTGAAGATGGGGGTGATGGTGCATGGGCTGCTGTGTAGGTGGGGTGTACAAGTGCTATACGAGACCTCCTTGCTGGCTGGGTTGAAGGTGATGGCTGTGGTGGAGCCTTTGTGCTGAGGTGTATCTTGACCTGGTGGCAGCCGCAGATGGAGGTGGAGGCAGCTGTAGTGATGCTGGTCTGCTGGTCCTTGGTGATCGCTCTGGTGAA